TCCCCATGGTTAACGATGCCTGTGGCTCCTCTGCCACCTGCCCTGGGGTGCTGGTGGGGCTGGAGCTACAGCTTCACCATGGGGTGCAAAGCAGCCTGCAAACCCCAAACACTCTGCAAACCTTGTGGGGGTGAGGGGATGGGGTGGTGAGCTTGCAGCTGTCGGTTTCTCTTTTTGCGGTCTGTTTTTTTGGCTTTTTAATTTTTTTTGCCTCTATTGTTTAACAGATTTCCCCCATCCCTTGCACAAGCCCTGGCCACCCCCTGGTTGGCCACGAACAGGTTAAGCTTCCTGTTGCTCAAAACAGGATTTCCTGGTGTCGAAAGGCTGAATTCACAGAAGTGCTGGGAGGGAGGATGGCTTTCTGAAACACTTCCTCCAGTGCTCCTGCAAGCCAGGTTCCTCCACGGGGAAGGCAGAAGGAGAGGTGATGACCCCACACCCCCGCTCACCAAGGGGGTCCCCAGTGGTGATGCTGTACTCCACTTGTCCACTGGGTCCCGAGTCATCGTCATGGGCCAGGAAGGTCCAGACGCGTGGGCCTGGCTGTCCTTCTGTGATGTCGAAGGGACCCTCGTAGGGCCGAGGGAAGGTGGGACAGTTGTCATTGATGTCGTTCAGGTTCACCAGCACCTGTGGTCAGGGTGAGAGGGTGGAGGGCAGTGAGGGGAGAGGGATGGAAGGGGAGACCAGCCCACCGGCCATGAGCATGGGAAGCCATGGATGGGTGACATCGCAAAATAACTCCCATATTTCTGGCTTTGTTGGACTCACCAAACACCCAACTCACAGTTCAGAGACTCAAACTCAAGTTATTCCTGATCACGCTCATCCTACAGCAACAATACAAAACTCCAACCACAAGCAGGTGGGGCCCTTTTTGACCTATGGGACACACACCATAACAGAGAAGTCAACACAAAAGCCAAATGTTCTCCACATTCACATCCTGAAACCCAAGCTGGATAGACAAAAACCATGGACATAGATTTGACCACCAAAGCCATGAGTTTGGACAGACTCCATCTCTGCAGCCAGCTACACACTTGCTCACTCCTTTTCCTCCACCGAGGGTTTCATTCCTAATGCCGAGAACTTTAAAAAATGTGCAGCTTGTGTCCTTATTCCAACACAAAACACCACCAACGGCACTGGTGCATTTCTCCTCTTAGCATCCCTTCCTATGGCACACACAGCTGGCTAGAAATCAATCCTACAGCTCTCAAAAGGAGAAAGCATCAACAATTTTAGGACAGAGTAGACCATGGGGCTGCTGGTAAAGCCAGGGATCCAATGCACTCGAATCTTTTTAACTGAGTCACAATACATAGAAGACATTTATATAGGTCTACACTATATTGAAAAGAGGGTTATCCCCATGCTAGGCTTCAGAGAACTTGCACAGTGGAGAAACCCTGCCTGAGAAGAGTTTCCGGTGGCTAATAAAAGGTTGAGGTGTTTATGAGAAAGCTACGGAAGATGAGGAGCTTTCTGACTTCCTGGGTTAAAGGGAAGTAAAATCCATCAGGTGAGGAGTTGTTACTGGCTAAATCTAATCTTTACAGAAGAGTATATCTGAGTGTCTGCTCTGTTTCCTAGCAGTGGAGAAAACAAACACTGGCACGCCTTATCAGGGTGATGGCTTTCCCATCACTCGGGATCTTAAATAACGAGAAAACCTCCTCCTAAAAGCTATGTTTTCATACAGTGCTGGCACTAACTCCCTGGGCTGAGTAGGGATTGTGTTTCCTATCCATTCCAGCTTCACTTCTTGTTGCTGAAGGGGTTTCCAAGTTCATTTCTCTGCTTGGGCCAAGGGCAGGGAAAGTTCTGGCTTTGCCTGCAGCACGCTGGCAGCTGCCGCCTTCCCTGCCAGCAGTTGAACCCCACGTCTCGAGGTTTCTGCTGCAGTTTTCCTGGGCCAGGAAAGCATCTCCAGCAGTATCAGATGCATACATCTGAAGGCTTCCCATCTGCCCAAGCAGGGAACACAGCACTGCCAGGCTTGTGAGGATGGATTTTATCCGTGGAAATCTCCTGCACTGGTATCTCCTCTTCAGTTTCTCTTTTTTTCTTTGCACACAAGAACTTATCTCCTTTTAGGGGATTACAAAACGCTTGGCTCGATATCTGGGTGAGGTATAATGGTCCATGACAGGGAGCCAAGGCAGAAGATCTAACTGATACCTTCCACCTGCTGACCCCAAAATCAATCTGAGCACGAACAACATCTGTATAACCCATCAGATTTTGGTTTCAGTCACAAGAATTGTCAGTGTATTCAATTCCTGAAAAATATTTGCTTTGGAGCTGGCAGCCTGCCCGCCCCATGGTTTGAGCAGTCAGGTCACTGTGGTCCAGGAAAAATGGAAGAGATACAAAAGCAACAAAAAAATGACTAGAGGCTTTAAACAACCTCCATACAAGGAATGAAAAAGGAATTTTAAAAGCAAATAAATAATCTGAGAAGATGAAGATGAAGCAGAAATTAAGGCTGCAGCAATGCTTTACTATCTACTGTCCCTTCAAGCAAGAAGGACCAAGGGACATCTAAAAAAACCATAAAGCAACGTAAAAACTGTGCCGGGAATTTCTTCTGTTTTTGTCTTTGCAGGACCAAACAACTGGGTTAATTAACCCACGAGTGTCCCTTGCCCACGTCCCTGTTTTGCAACTCCCATGAGGTGACAGCAAGGGGATAAACTGACCACAGCTGGGAAAAGCAGACAGTGACCAGTGGGAAGAAGATGTGAAACTGCTCGCGCAAGGGGGAACTCCTCGACCCCAAAGAGCCCCCAGTGTCGTAACCCTGCCAGCAGCTCCCTACCGTGGTGGTCGACGTCAGCCGGCGTGAGACGATGGGGCACTGGTCGGTGGCAGTGACGATCAAGGTGTAGCGACCATGGCTGATCTCATAGTCCAGCTCCTTCACCGTATGGATGTGACCCTGTAAGGCGAGAGGAGAGCAGCTGGGAGTGAAGGAAGCAGGACAGGGGCATGTCTGGGATGGGGCTGGCATCCTTACTGACCGTGGTGCTGTTGATGCGGAAGGTACCCAAGATGTTGCCTTCGGTGATGGCGTACTTAACCGTGCCGTTGGGTCCCTCATCCTGGTCCAGGGCCTGCACAGTGACGAGGGTGGCGTTGAGTGTGGCGGGACCCTCGTCGAGGGTCACCTCGTACAGCTGCTGCCAGAATGCAGGAGCGTTGTCGTTCTCGTCCAGGATGGTGACGTACACCGTGGTGGTAGCCTGTGGGACATGGGGACATGGTGCTAAACACCATAGAGGGATTGGGTCCACAAACCCTGGAGCTGGCTGGGGAAGGCTGGACCTGTCAAGGTCAATGACCAATGTAGGTTCAACCCTGCCAAGAGACACAGATGGGATGCAGGGCTCAAAATGAAATGAGCCATGGCTGCAGACACATCTCCAGGTAATGTCTGGGTACAGAGATAAACAGACAGAGATTAAATCACACCTGTATTCCCAAGCAAAGCTCATCTCTGTGGGTTCCCTCTCTTTTTCCTCCAGTTTTTACAATTGCTGGTAACACTGGGGAGCAGCCCATGGAAGAGGGAAAGCCAGAGCCTGAACCCCATTGTGCTTCCCTGCCTTTCAAGGAGGCACTTGCGAGTCCTCACCGTGACACTGGGGACACCTTGTTTGTTATTACTGAGGATGGCAACATGGTAGGATGGAAAATACCAGGAGAGGATGCTGTCGTGGTTCAGGGGAGGAACAAAAATGAGCATCTCAGACACCTGGCCCCTCCTCCCTCAGGTCCCATCATCTACCCACTAACCCCAATTTCATGGCTGGCCAGTCTCAGCCTGTCCTGACCCTCTTCCAGCTGTATCAATCCCACACAAGGCACCTGGATGTCCTTAATGAAGGGTGTCATCTGGGTGTGTCAACATGGGGGCACACCGGAGAAAGGGGAGGTGACATGAGCATGTCACCACGCCTAAGGGCTCAGCTCAGAGATGTGGTCTCAGAACGGATAAGCTGTTTTCTTGGAGTGTCTCAACTTTGTGCCTACACGTTCCCCCAGTGACAAATTCCTTCCTGCCAGACAAGGGTTACATTTTTTTGCCGAGAGCTTCTTACGTGTTTGCTGTCAAAACCACAAAGCCACACGGTAATTAGCTACTTTTCTATTTCACTGCATGCTCCAAATTCAGAGCAGGTTAGCAGCAAAGTTTCCTGTGGTTTGCAAACCTCCACGTGTCTCAGGGCTCCACTTTCCAGGGAACGGGCACCTGCCTGCACTCTTTGAAATGAGGCTGCCAGAGATTTTGTTAGTGCCTTGGGAATTCAAAGTGAAGCTCCTATTTGAGGTCAGAGTAAGGCCCTCTCCCATGCAAATAGGCTGCAGGAGGGGGATGCTTTGCTCCCCTTTTTCTGGGGAAAGCTCTGTGCCCTTCCCTGAGCTGGCAGCGTTCTGAGTTACCCTTCCCTGTACCCACCTCCCGTTCATCCCGGGAGGGTTTCTGCCCACGTAATCCTCACAAACACGGGAAAAACAAACATTACAAAGTGCACTTTAATGAAGCAAGCTGGAGATTGGCCCCAAGGTATCGTCTCCCACTGGGGAAGGGATGGGGACCAGCACCAGCATGTCCCCTGGCACTGTGAGCATCCCTCTCAGCTACCTCCTGTGCACCCCGAAACGGCACGCAGCATGCTTGAGCTACCCTCTATGATGCTATAAAGGTAAAAAAAAACCCCAGCAGATGCATCTGCTGCCACCCAAATGGGTGGGGACAGAAGCATCACCCATCCGCGGGGTGCCCCGAGGGGGTGCTGCCACTGCCCCCAGTCGCCCCCAGCTCCCTGCCGCATCTCACCTCCTGGGGGTGCTCGCAGTTCTCTCCATCGCAGCGCGCAATGTCTTAATGAAATTTCCTGTGTGTGCAAGTCCGGCTCTCGCTGCGGGGCTGCTCAGAGGCGTGCGGGAGGCTCTGGAGAGGTGAGCTCCCTCGGGCTGCCCCAGCCACCATGGAGGCAACGTCCCCCCGGCCGGGGCTGCTGCTGGCCGCGCTCTGCCTGCTGGCTTCCCACGGTAAGCTCCAGCTCGCTTGGTAAGCTCCAGCTTGCTTTCCTCTCCTTCCCCACCCAGAGAAACGCTCCTCGCTGGGGCACTGCGCTCGTCCCGCCGCTGTGCCTCGGCATGAGGAATTTGGGGCATTTGGGGGGTTATTTACTCTCTCACACTGTGATTTCGGAGTGGGATCAAGGCAGTGTTTCACACGATGCTGGTTGGTTGAGTCGGGGGGAAAAGGGCGCACAGGGGAGCTGCTGTTTTAAAACTCTGGGTTTGGGCTTTCCTCCTTCCTCCTTCACTTTGATCTAATGTACGGGGAAGGAAAGCAGCAACCCCCCAGCCCCCCGCCGGGGATCCTGAGATGGAAAAGCTTCCCTGTTCCCACATATGATGCTTTGCCCTGGCACTGCGGGGGTCCCCGGCCACGCCGGGGTGAAAGGAGCTTTCTGTCAGCCCTGGGGGAGAGGAGAGAGGCAGTTTGCGTGAGCAGGGCCGGGATGCCCTCACTAAGGATGCTCCGCTCCACTGTAAGTGCTGGGTGGGCAGCTTCTCAGGGTGGGCAGCTGGGGCAGGGCCGCTGTGTGTGGCTGCTGAGTTTCCCTTCCCCTAAGCAAGTGCTTCCCAGTGCTGGAAGCTCACTGGCTGCTTGCCAGCGTGGAGGGGGTTCTGGGAAGGGGGGGCTACTTCATGCTGGACGCCACACCAGCCCCGGGCAGGCAGGATTTCCATACTGGGGCTCCAGGCGGGCAAACAGGGGCAGTGGCAATTAAAATCACAGCTCGTCTGTGGATGAGGAGTCAGAGAATGAAACTGGGAAGGACCATGGTCCCTCTGTGCCCTGCGCAGGCAGGGGACAAGCATCCTATTGAGCTTGGCTTCTCCCTCTGTCCTGGGACAGCACAGTGACTGCCTCCAGGATTTCTGCCAGTGCATCCCCAGGAGGAAATGATGCCCTGCTGCAACAGGGCACGGAGTCCCTTCTCCTCTGTCCTCTGGGACAGCAAGGCTGGTGTGGATTGAAGTGTGCTTTGCTTCTCATCTGAGCCTCTCAACATCAGAGAGCGACTCCCAGCATCTCCGCAGGGCTTTGGATTATTTCATTTCCACATCTGGGGTGCTGGGACTGAATGTCAGGCTTTCTGCAACACAACAAGCTTGGATGTCGATGTTCAAAATTAGCCTGGTGCCAGAGGAACTGTGCCTGCCAAAACTTTCTGAACCCCCAGCTAATTTTACCAGGGCTCGATGGAGAAATAGAGACCCTGGAGATATCCAGCTCCTGTGTGGTGTGGGGACGCCGGCAGCTAGGTGGATGGGGAAGAAGCTGCTCTCCACCCAAGGGATGGCAGCCGAGCCGGGCTTCCCAAAATCGCATCCCAGGTGTTGGGACCCTGTCCCTGAACCATGGCTGTGCTGGAAGAGGAGCAAGGCAGGACTCTCTGGTGAGTGCCCTGGCTCCGTGCTGCTCTCCCCACAGCCTGGCTGATGGCTACACAGGAATGGCCCTGCCGCTGAAAAGCCATTTGGCTCCTTGGGGTGCAGAAGATGAGGGCCATTAACATGGGTGCCTCTTATCTTCAGTAAGTTTTTTCTCCCCCTTTTCTTTCCTACTGTAAGTACTTGTGCCGAGGTAGGGATGCCCCCGCACATCTCACCTGGCTGATAACTCTGAAGCATAATGACAGCACAGTGACAATGGGGTTTGCAGCACTTTAATGTGAGGCTGTTACAAAAGCTCCTAGAAGAGGTAGTAAAGCTGGGTTCCTCACTCTGGCACTGAGCAACTGCTCTGTCTCCAACAGCCCCTCCTCTGCAGCGGGTGAGCCCCTCTGAAGGCTGCAGCCCTCCCAAGGCTGCAGCCCTCCCACCGAGATTTCCCTTGGGTGGAAAGAGGTGCCATGACATGGAAATAACTTCTGGAAATCACAGGAGTGTAAATCAAACACCTGCTTGCCAGAGCAGGGACCAAAGTTAGGAGAATCAGCCGGGAGAGGCTTTTGTTCACTGACCCAGAATTCGGCACAAAATCCTCTTTTATTTGAGCTGTCCATTGGAAAAGCAATGCAGGCTCCTTGGCATTGGCATATTTTTGCATTTTGTTTTCTCTGAAAGGAGGCTCCCAGGTTTCAGGCTAGGCAGTTGTGCCGGCCCGGAGGATGGACCAGCACTGCACCCTGTGACCCACCAATGCAACACCATGGGTCAGAGCCGAAGCTCCTGAGATGTCAAAGAGAAAGAGGGGCACCCCCTTGAGATCTCCTCTGCCTTTACCAGATGGTGACAAGATGACAGTTCTTGGCTTGGACCTTGGGTCCAGCGCTCCCCTGGCTCTTGGCCAGAGCTGTGCGGAGCCGGGCATCTGGCCTTATTTTGGTGTTTGCCGGTGGCGTTGACTTCAAAGGGAATGTTCTGACCAGGGTGGGATGCAGCCAAACCTGGGGTTTGGGCATGAAAGCCCAGCACCCAGGGGAGATTAAGATCCACAAGCTTTAGTGTAAAGACACCAACAAAAGATGTTTCCTCCGGGCACCAGCTGGCATCTAGCATGGCTTTAAAGCTTTGTTACATTTCGGGGAGGGACTGACAACCTCCCTGGTGCTGCTATGGGGCACGGCATGCCTTGCAAGCTCTCCTCCCCAGCTGTTCTCTCCTCCACTCAAGAGCTTTTAGAAGACTTCCCTTGCTCGGGAGAAGGAAGAGAAGTTGGTAATGCTGAAGGCTTCGCACACGTGGTAACCTCTGCCCCTCCCTGCAGCCAGGCTCCACTGCCGAAAGCGTGGGCTGTGTTGACTTTCTGTCCAGATGGTTCCCATCAAGGCCTGGGAGCGGAGGCGGGATGGTTTAGTAAGGCACAGCTTTGCAAACTGTGCGGGGATGAGTGGGATGACCCCTTTTAATTTAAAGAAGAAGGTGGTGGTGGAAAACAAAGACCCCCACAGATACTTTTGCAAAGTGTTAGAATAGAGCCCTGGCTTCCCTTCCCCTGTCTCCCAGGGGACTCCGGATGTGAATGGGGCACTTCCCTTTGCAGCAGGTAGCGAGGAACACATCTGAGGTGCCGTTTGTGCTCAGAGTGCTGGCAAGGAGGTGGGGGACCCACCCTGCTGCATGCCAAGACCCAGCCAGCCCAGCCAAGCATCCTGGCCCTAACAGCA